GAGAGAGAGAAGTTGAGAGAGGTTGGCAGAATGCTCTTCTGTCTGATCCACTATTTATAAGGGTACCAGCCCTATTGGACGAGTGCCCCGCCCTTATGACTTCACTCAACCCAAATGACCTCCTCACAGGCCCTGTCTCCAATTGTAGTCAGGTTGGAGTTAGGGTTTCAACATACAGACACTGTAGAGCATAGACATATGGTCCATAACAAATACATATTCAGATTTCAAGTCATTTTACACTTATGCAGCAGATAGAAAGGAAACATTAGCCTCAAGAATACAATGTAGGATCTGCATCCACAGAACCATATGCTATTGTGTCCTAAACTGCTTTTTAATGGTTATGTGAGCGGCAGTAGTTACTATGGGAAAAGCTGTGTTTTACTTGTAGAAGTTGCCAAGGCTTTATAAGAGCTCACGATGACTGACCAGATTTCAGATTCCTCTGGTCTGTTTGCCCGGGGGACCAGCTTTTCTTCCTTCTGAAGGGTTGGGATGCTTATTTGCCATACGTTTTGAAAGGCTGTACATATATCATGGCAATATTTCAGGTCAGTGTTTCCCAAACTGGTGTTCCATAGTACCCGAGTCTTGAAAAATGCTTGGGAAGAAAAAAAAAAGTTTGAGAAATGCTGTCTATCAGATCTACTTCTTAGATAGTGACAATACATATTTATGCCTTAAAGGCTCTAAGAAATCCTGCAGGTAAAAAGAAAAGACATTAATTTTGCTTAACTTGGCATTTCCTCCAAATTATTTGTTTATATATACCCTCACCTTTATATATTTATTTATTTATTCACTCATATACTGATTTATTTTGCAGAATAATCTAGCATCTTCTGGAACTTCAGTTATGTCACCCATATTTTCAGAAATGTTTTCACTAAGACATTTGTTTTTATAATTTGGGATTCCCTCTTCAGGAAAAACTATGGCAGGCGATTTTACATAGGAAACATTTTATATTTACATTAGGGAATATAGCTGTGGACTTACAAGAAAATATCATGCAAAGCACCCACACGGGAATTTAAAATATTTCCATAGACTAGTCCAATAGGATGATATCCAATTTTCGGCACTTGTGTTTCTCTGCCAGTTCTGGCCCATGTTCCGGCATTAGGTGCCTCTCCCCAGTGGCGAGCCCTCACTGACTTGCTCATTGTGTCCTGTGTTGCGCTGAGCGTTGCACTTTAAACAATAGGAGCTCTCGGCTGCATTGGTTGAAACTGGATTCAAAGGAGTAAGTTTTCCGACCTCAGTGCCCAACAAAGACGGAATTACTACTCTGGAAGGTTAGCAGTGTCCCGGGAGCTGAACTGTTGATTAAAGAAGATATGGGCTTTCCTCATGAACACCCCTCGGAAACGTTGCGGTCTGGTCCGTGGGGGACACACATTCCTGAGAGCATTTTTCTATGAAATGCTTAGATGGACGCTGAAGTCTTTGCAGTGCAGTTGTTTCTGACCGTACACGGTCATCTGCCTCTGCACTTCAGGAGTTTCAGCATGCGCGTTTATAGCGGGCGCCACCTCCTCCTGTCCCCACCCTGCAGTGAAGGGACAGCGTAAATCGTACATGGGAGTTAGGGGTAGATGCAAATCAAGAGCATGAGTGCAGCCCACAGATAAGATACCGCTGAGGGGAGGGAAGCTTTGCTGAACCTCCCAGTGAGGGGCAGGAGGACGTGCCTGGTTCCCAGGGTTCTGGCAAATGCAGGAGGAGGCCTGCCTTAGGGAAAGGATGGGAGGTATATTTTATTTGTAAGTCCCCTAATCACCTGTGCGAGAAACATTTGCCTACATGACTTGATTTAATTTTCAGCAAAGAGGTATTCTCATTCCCTTCTGTGCAGATGCAAAGCGGAGGCTTAAGGCAATGAAAAAATGTGCCCGTGGTTCCAAGTGCTAGACTTGAACCCAGCACTGAATGGCTTCAAATCTAATGCTGTTTTCTCTAAACTGTGCTGCCTTTGCCTTGCCCTGGTCCATAAAAATTCAGATGTGGTGAACAATTATATTTTGCTCATTCACATGACAAATGTTTATTTTGGATGCTCTGTTAAGCTTGGGAGGTAACTGTCTATTACAGCGCACTCCAGGTATCTGGGACTGCTTCCCGACTTTCTCCCCTAACTCATTTTGCCCTGCTTATCGGTCCCATCCTAAGTATTTGTAGAAGCAACAGATTTCCAACCACCTGGAACAATTTAATGGTGTAGCAAAAGGAACGGGGGTGCTACTGGCATTTAGTGAGTTGAGGTCAAGGATGCTGCTAAACATCCTACAATGCATAGGGCAACCCCTCCCACAACAAAGAATTAAGCAGTCCAAATTTTCAACAGTCCTGCAACTGAGAAACCCTCACCTGTAGAGGTAGAAGTCAGTAGTCAAAAGGTGAGGTGGGAAGCCTGGCTTCATCTCATAGTTCTGCTATTGAGCTGGGCAACTGTGGGCAAACCACTTAACCTCTCTGGTCATCTGAAAATGAAGGGATTTTGGGGTAGTAATTGAGCATCCACACTTGAATCTTGAAATGAGGCAACACATTTATGTTTACAGACTCATAGAGACTGAGCAAATTGAGTGAAACCTTTGATAAAAGGTTTTCTGTTCCTTAGTTTTCTCCTTTAATGATAATTTCAAGAGACAAAAGTTAATAGTGTGAGATGCCAAACTGAAATAAATATTAACATGCAAGAACTTCAGAAGTAACAGCTTGTATCCCACTCTCATTAAGAAAAATGATCTGTATCTAGAAAAACATCTACCCCAGGTCATGCAAAATTATGTTTGTATTGAGCAAGAAAATCACAGCAAGTAGCTTTTGAAAATTTTGATTCGTTGGCCCCAAATTGCACTGACAACATTTCTTTTCAGTCCAAATAAACATTTATTCCAATAAAAGGAGGCACTGTGATCTTTGCTGTTTGCTATGTATTTCTGGCTGGGCAGTGCCTCCGGTTAGGTTTTGTGTGTTTACTCGTCACACAGACCTTAGGGAGGTAACAAGTTGTTTTCCAAATGTAGCTAATTGTGTATCTAACCTCTGAGAATGGCTTCTAACCAAGTAAGCCGAACAGTGGGAACAGCGGGACCTGAATCTGTACCTGTTTCCTGTGTGAATAATGAGGATTTTTTTTGCTTGCGGCATCCCTATTTATGAAATCATTTAATAAATGACAGCATTAGTTTTAAAAGATCTCAAATGAGGTGTTAGTATGAATTACTGGGAATCCTAGAACAGGCCTCACAGAGGACACGTGAATCACTGAAAATTTTTAGTGTGTTAATCAGATTCTGAATGGAGTGTTCGGTGCCCCAGTCCTACAGTGGACAGAACTGAAGCGTACAGCTTTAAAAAAAGCTAACTCAGAGGGTTTGAAATGTGTCACCCCTCCGCCTCACCGCCACTTTCGGGGAACGCAAGTACCTTTGCATTAATGGTCAAGTTGAGGACCCTGGTTATCAGGGATTACAGATACTGCTTCACACGTCCCACAAGAGCAATTTCGATGAAAACAAAACAAAACTCAAAAAGACCTTTTACAACTTCCTAAGGAAACGTATATATCTTTATGCACAAATTTCCCAGCTCTGCTTGGTGGGAAAGAACACACATGTCATAAGCTTTTTCAACCCAGCTAGCCCGTTCGCAGTGGTCCCAGGCCTAGGCCAGCGCGAGGGTGTAGGGTGGGGAGTGAGCACCCTCTGCTGAGCAGGAGGAAGTAGTTCAGTTCTGTCCAGGCGAAACTAGAACCTCTTCCTAAGTTGTTATGTTTTCCCCTATGACGGTCAGTCTCATTTGAAAATTACTCAGCCTGGGGGCAATTAAAAAGAATACTTACAATTTCTGCACGTGCACGAGTGTGAGCACATGTGTCCACACATGTGTGTGTTTGTGTGTACACACATACACACCCTCTTAATGAAGGTGCTGAACAGATGACCTCGAAGGCCCATTCCGTTTCTAAAGTGATGTGATTCTAAAAGTCTTTAAGTAACTTATTTTGAAAGAATAGAACCCGTTGTATGAGATACAGGCTTCTGTTCAAGAGGAACAGTCAGCTGGAAGTCAGGAGGCTTGGTCTTCACCAGCCAAGTAGACTGATCCTCAGATGTGCCCTCATTTCTCACCCTGTTCTCAGTATCCCCTCTACCTGAAATGTGGAGAAGAGTTTTTTCAATGTATTTTATTTTATTATTATTATATTTTTTAAGTCCTCACCTGAGGGAGGATATTTTTGCATTGCTTTTCAGAGAGAGTGGAAAGGACAGAGAGAGAGAGAGAGAGAGAGAGAGAGAGAGACATTGATGAGAGAGAGACACATCGATTGGCTGCCTCCCTCACGTGCCCCGACTGGGGCTGGGGATGGAGCCTGCAACCGAGGTCCGTGCCCTTGACTGGAATCGAACCCAGGACCGAAGCTCTAACCACTGAGCAAAACCAGCCAGGACAAACATCGAGAAGTTTTAATTCCATCCACACTACTGAAATCCTGCCCACCTTCCATGATCTCTCTTCAGACTTAAGAATCTGTTTTTTGCACTTAATTCACTTCAGATAAGGGAAAAGATAATACATTTCAGAAATCTAGTTTCTATTCAATGCAGGGTTTTTTGTGGGATTTTTTTACATATACCAATTTAAAACATTTTTACAGTCTTATTGAGATATAATTTACAAACCATAAATGTATCCCATTGATTTTTAGGAAATTTATAGAGCTGTGCAACCATCACCACAATCCACTTCTAGAACTTTTTCATCTCCCCCCCAAATTTTCCTCCCACCTATTTGCAGTCAGTCCCCAGATAACCACTTCTACTTCTCTACCCACAGAGAGCCACTGCTCTGATCTCTGTCTCTATGAGTTTGCTTTTTCTGGAAATTTTATAAGTGGGTCACACAATATGTAGCCTTTGTGTCTGGTTGCTCTCATTAGCATAATTTTTTGAGGTTCACCTGTGCTGTCACATTTATCACTAGTTTGACCCTTTTAACTCTGAGTAGTATTCCATCACATGAGTATTCTACATCTTGCTCGTCCATTCGCCAGTTGAGTGTTTGGATTGTTTCTAGTTTTTGGCTATTATGAACAATGCTGTTATGAACATGCACATACTAGTCTCTGTGTGGATATATGTTCCATTGCTCTTGGGTAGATTTCTAAGGGTAGAATTCACAAATCATGTGGTAATGTTATAGTTAACTTTGTAAGAAGCTATTATAATTTGACATTCCCACCAGCAGTATATGAGAGTTTCAGTTTCTCAAAATCCTTGCCAGTACTTGGTATTGTCTGTCTTTTTTTATTATAGCCATTTTGGAGATATGTAATAGCACCTTATTGTGGTTTTTATTTGCATTTCCTTAATGACTAATTATACTGAACACCTCTTCATGTACCAATTTGCCATTTGTATGTCTCCTGTGAAGACTTTCTATTCAAGTCTTTTGCTAATTTGTAATTGGGGTTTTTTTATTATTGAGTGTAAGAGTTCCATATGTACTCTCAAAGTAAGTCCTTTAGCAGATACATCATTTGCAAATATTTTTTTTAGTATATGGCTTGTCTATCTTTTCATTTTCTTTTCTTTTTTAAAATTATATTTTATTTATATTGTTGACAGTATTACAGATGTCTACCATTTTCCCCCTTTGCCCCTTTTCACCCAGCCCCAGCTCTCCCCTCCCTCTGGCCCTCACCACATTGTTGTCTGTGTCCAAGGGATATACATATATGTTCTCTGGCTATTCTCTTCATTTTCTTAACAGTATTTTTATTTTTTACTTTTAAATGATGTTTATTAGAAAGAACTTCCATTTAAATAATGTAATAGTTGTGTAAAATAAAGCTTTTAAAGAGAATTAAAACCTTGTTTTGTTTTTATAAAATTGAAGCATGCTCTGAAATTCAAACAGTACAGAGCTTACTAGTATTTTTAGAAGCACAAATATTTTTAACTTTGTGAGGTCCATTTATTAATTTTTCTTTTATGGCCTGTGCTTTTGTTGGCATATCTAAAAATTCTTTGCCTAACCCAAGGTCACAAAGATTTTTTCTCCTATGTTTTCTTCTAGAAACTTCATAATTTTGGCTCCTACACTTAAGCCTATGATCCATTTTGAGATAATGTTTAAGTATAGTTTGAGGTAAAGGTCGGTTCAATTTTGTAATGTGAAATCTAATTATCCTGCCACCATTTGTTGAAGAGGATTCTTTTCCCATTGAATTGTCTTGGCATCTTACACAAATTATTTTATTAATATTTATCTCCAAGCCCTAGCAAGCAACTGATCTTATCCCAATTTCATAGATCAGTTCACAGACTCATAGATTTTTAACTAATACACTCAAATTCCCATGGCTAGTAGATGTCAGAACCAGGATAAGAGTTCTGGTTTGCCCAAGTACAAGATCTATCTTCTTATTAAAGTTTCCTTGCATGTTATTTATTCCAACATTAAACTCTATGCTTCCTGAGGTTGCTTACCACTTATTCTTATCTTGCCCCATGCTCTAGGACAGTATTTGCTTATTTAACGGTCATGTTTTGAACCACTCCATTGACTTAAGTGATAATGTTTGTGTGAAAGTAAGTAATGACTCTAAATCTAAATAAATTTTTCTCTCCATTATATAAATGCTTCCTATGGTCAAAACTAGACTTTCATTGCAAAGGAAACATTTTTAGGAAATAGCTCTTCACCCTCTATTAAAGTCATTGCTTCTGTATGAACATGAACTTCATTAGGAATTATGATGAATTGAGAATGTCTTTTCTCATATTTGACTATAAAGGAGCCTTCAGGTGACATAAAGTGAAAGTCATGGGAGGACTCAGAAAGTGATAAAAAGCACTGGCTTGGGAGCCAGAGGGTCCTAGTCCTGGTTCTGCGGTAACTTGTTATGTGACCTTGAACAGTCATTGGAGATCTCTGCACCACAGTCTCCTCACCTGTAAAACAGTAGATGTGGACCAGGTTGCCACTGTGGTTTCCCTCCCATTGATTTGTTTCATAAAGTGCTACTATAACCTCACGTTCTGTTCAGATGACACATGAGTGGCTTGTCTTCTTTGCAGGTTGCAGGGAGAATCAGTTTCAGTGTCACACAGGCAAGTGTCTTAATTACAGCCTTGTGTGTGACGGATATGATGACTGTGGGGACCTGAGTGATGAACAAAACTGTGGTAAGTAGCATTGTTTTCCTAAATGCTTTCATTTAAAATTACAGGAATTTATAACCAAGGACTTGTAGCTTGTTCCTTAATATGATCAAAAGCAGGTTAAATTATAAAATTGGTTGGTTTCTAAATTTTAGAAAGGAGAGGTTTTTTCCAATTACTAGTCTCAATTATGTCTTATGAATAATGTAATACTTCTTTAATACACAGTCATACTAAGGAAATGCTAAAGAAGTGGAGTGGAAAAGCAGCTACAGGTTGTTAATATGTTAATATTATTTTCTCCTTGAAAGTGTTCTGTTTTTTCTCGTGTTTAGATTTTGAGCTCTTGAGCAAAACTTTGCAGACAGATACAGTGTTTGTCCCTTGATTCCCCTTATTTTACATAACAAAAGACCCCTCCTTGATTTGATCACCAAGCAATACAGAGATTACTTGTGTAGTAGTGACACATAGGGTTAGATAGCACGTTTATTTTATATACAAAAGCTGATCTTATCTTTTCAAGAATAAACCTACCTTTTAAAGGGTCTTGTTCAACTTTGAATGCCGTCTGGTGAATTCAAACCAGCAAACTTCCTCTTGCTTGTTTACCTTTTGACTTTGTGATTAGCTTCGGAAGGTTTAGGTAAGATATTACTGAAAGACATAGGAACTTTGTAGCATGAACAAAAGGCCAAGCTGGGATGGCGAGGGCACTGGGCAAATGACGTGAGATAGAATAGAGCATTGGAGAGGATGGGGAAGAACGTTGGGAGAGGCCCAGGAGTAAGATGGAGGAATGAGGAATGCCTCAGGGTGGCGTCAGAAACCTCCAGGCTGTCCCAAATACACCACGTGGGCTCTCTACCTTGTGAAATCCAAATCCCATTTCAGTTTATTTGAGCCAGTGCAAAAAATCACAAATTTCTCATAAGGAAAGAAAACATTGACAAAACAAAATGAAAAACAAAAAAAAACAAGCCAAACTGTGAGTCCTGGCAAAGCTGGACAGTTTTCCGTCTGAAAAACAGATAGGTCATCGTGGCGGTGCCTAGTGGGCCGCAGGCTTGGGCGGGAGGTGAACTGTGCCAGGCCCGTCACAGGAAAGCCGTTGAGGTGTTAGGACAATTGGAGTAGCTGCTCTTCAGTTGGAACCAGGAGCCGGACTTTCCAAGTGTCCACCAAGCTGGTTCTCTGCGTCCCCCTGGATGTTCCCTTTCTGCAGACTGCAGTCCCACGAAGCAGCATCGGTGTGGAGATGGGCGCTGCATCGCGATGGAGTGGGTGTGCGACGGTGACCACGACTGTGTGGACAAGTCTGACGAGGCCAACTGCTGTGAGTGCCCTGAGGTTTCCATTTTGCTTAGTTTTCCATTTCTTGCCTGTGTAGGCCAACACACTCAAGGTTCGCTACCTAACAGCCTTCAAAGGGAAAGATCCTTATACTTTGGCCCCTGCCTGGAGAGATAATAATTGAATAGTGTGAAGACAATAACCATGTAGTGTACCTGACTTCCACACTTTGCTCTCCAGGACGTCAAGCTTTATTTGTTCCATCTGGCCCAGCAGGTGTCTGTTTTCTCTCTCCTTGCTCCCCGTGTCTCCTTTCTGCATCTGTGACTTTGTCAAAGGGGGAGATCTCCCAAGAAGCTGGAGGACTTTTCTTTTGCAGATGATATATGAGTGGTTGAGCTTTCTTGCAGGAGCCTCCAAACATGTTCTCTGGCACGATTTGTAGGAAAACATGGAGAGAACTGCCAGAGAGGAGAGAGCCTTCAGTGTTCATAGACTTAAACAGAAAGCGTGATAACAATTATAATTTTAGTGCCTGTTGTTTTCTGGGTAAGCGAACAGTCTTCAGGTGGGTGTTACATTAACTAGCTAATAAAATCAAGAATGGCTATTAATCCTTTCTTTTCCCTCTAGAAACTATACTATACTCGGTAGAAACAAATAAAATTATCGAGTAGGAGCAGCTATGTGTTAAAAGCAAATAATTTGACCTGAAAGAGTTAAAATGATGCGTTTTATGCATAGTTGAATGAATTACACTTTTTATTACATCTTTTGCTGTGCAATAAGAGTAGGAGAAAGTTGATATATGGGGGATTGAATATTTAATTTGCCTATAATTTGAGGCAAAAATAGAAATGCAGAGTGCATGGTTTTTATTTTGACATAAGAAAAGTCATAAACGAACAAACGCAATGCCCAACTTTCCCCTCCCCTGAATTGGAAATGAACTGGAATATCCCCTGATCCTTGCTCTGTGGGACACAGCGGACCAGAGCAGACTGCATCTTGACCGATCCGGGGAAAGCCAGGACATGATGCTCAAGTGTAACAGTTCTGGTGCTGAGCCTTCATTCAAGAATAGGGAGTTTTAAAGTTCAACAGTAACTCGGTGAAGGCTGAGGTCATATAAAACATGGTTTTTGATGCTCTAAAAACAATAGTGATAGAATTTAGACAATGTTTAGGAACCAGGAGATTAATGGCCACTAAACCATTCCTTTCAAATGTCAGATGTCAAAAACAAGTTTTGAAATAACGTGTTTATTGTGTATTAGGTACTCTGCATGTGCTTTTATATGTGTCACCTCATTGGCTCATTAGGTCAGGCTGTATGGAATGACATGCTGGGGCTGGGACTCAGAGAAACTTGCCCGCACATTCCCTTTTAACAGCCATGTGACTCTGAGACAGCTACAAGCTCTCTGAGCTTCAGTTTCCTATGCTAAGCCAGGTGGATAATATCTACCTTGCAAATCCTTACGAGGATTTGGGATTAGATATAGATGCTCCTAACAAAGTTATTACCATAGAGTAAACCTTTAAAAAATATGTATGTTTTTGTTGATTTTAGAGAGAGAGGAAGGGAAAGGGAGAGAGAGAGACAGAAATATCGATGAGAGAGAAACATCGATTGGCTGCCTCCTGCACACACCCCACCAGGAACTGAGCCCAAAACCCGGGTGTGTGCCCTGACCAGGAATGGAACCGGTGACCTCTTGGTGCATAGGATGATGCCCAGCCAATTGAGCTACACTGGCCAGGCTCCATAGAGTAAACCTTGAATAAATTATGGCTTTTATAATACTACTTCCCATCCTGAGGTTATAAAAAAGTTAATTCGTAGTAAGTGCTATTTAGTAAGTCATGAGAAATTCTAAAATGAAAACTTTCCATTTCAAAAATCCTGGGAAATTTTTTAAAAATTAGTGATGCATTCGTTCCTTGGTACAGAACATTCGGATAGTCAGGACACTTCATTTCCTGGCGAGGGCAGGTAAACAGGAGCCTTTCCGTGCTCTGCAGACTGAGGGAAGCACTAACTGATAACTTAGCGTGGCCCCTTCTCCTAGCCTGCGGCAGCCTGGGCCTGCTGGAATGCAGGAGCGGCCAGTGCGTCCCCAGCACCTTCCTGTGCGACGGAGAGGAAGACTGCAAGGACGGGAGCGACGAGAAGAACTGCACTCACGGTGAGTGTGTGCTCGGCCCGGGACGCCTTACCCGTGGGCCTTTCCCTGGGAAGGCAGCAAAAGGCTGGAAGTTACCTAAAGCTTAAGGGGACCCCAGATTGCCCACCGCAGCGGTCCTCACGGCCCCCCAGCCAGAAGGCCCTCTCGTGTGGGTTTCCTCGGGGGGCTCACGCTGAAAGACCACTCCTGAGGCCGAAGGGTTCGGGTTAGACGCTTACACAGCATGGGAGAGGCAGTCACCTGTTTGATGGGGAACGGCAACGTTGTGAGAAAGAGAAACGATTCGTATCTAGCATTCGATTAAATTAGGTTAGATTCCGGTGAGAAGGAACTGGCTTCTGAAATTAGATGTAACAGCTTCGCAGAGTCACCACATTCAGAGAAACAGTTTAATGCTTCATGTTACCAAGCACTGTACCTAAACACACTTTGAAAGGAGTCTGATCTCCATCTGTGAAACTCAAAGGGAAGAAGTAAATCAAATGAATTGGTCTTTCAAATGTGACCTCACACTGATTGTTTAAGCCCTGGTTTGTGTACAAGCGCCTCTCAGTGCAGGGCTGGTAAGAATATTCCTAGACTTAAAATCACCACCTCTGTGCATTGGCGACCTTGCCCCTGACCTCCACAGCCTGGCTGTAAAGAGTGTGGTCGGTCGTCGCCACCCAGCTGCCTGGCTCAAGCCCAGCTGTATTACCTACTATCCGGTTGACTTTAGGCCAGTTACTTACCCCCTTATGTCTCAGTTTCGTGTCTGTAAACTCGGAATAATGATGACATCATTATTGACACGTGGTGAGAACTCAATGTTTGCTATTATTATGTGGCCTTTATGTTGGGCTGTGTATGTCTATCTCCAGCTAATGAGATTGGTCACCTATATCTAAATTATTTTTGTCATCATGAATATAGATCATTAGAATAGCTTTAATGAAAAAAGCATTCAAGACCTAAAGGGAGAGCCTTTTACTCACAGATTTATTACATTAAAAGATACATAAGGAGTGCTAAGTTTTATCAATTTTAAAATTCAGAAGGAAATCCATTTCTACAACCAAGATCCTCCCTTTGGATCAAATTGCTCTTTCTTCCTACATAATTCAACTTGTTTGAAATAATTTTGGGTTCTTTACTATGCAATGGCAGGATTTGTAAACTGTTTCCTTACGGGTGTGACATGTAAGAAAGTCACATGATAAAATGGATCAAAAAGTAAAATTGTAGCATCTTTATATTATTTACTCTAATGAACTCAACTTAATAAATGTGTATTGTGGTGCTAATATGTGGTCAACCACTGGGGATTTAGTGGCAAGTAAAACAGCTTCAGGCCCCAGGGGGAGACAGACATATTACCAATAATTATGCATGTAGGTGTCTAACCATGAAGTGACGGGTGCCAAGGGGAACGGCAGGGTGCCGGGAGACCATATATGGGAAGCTTCGCTGAGGAAGAGCTATTGCAACTAAGATCTGGAGAATGGGTGGAGTTAACAAAGGAGCATGGGGTTGGACCAAGCATTTCAGATACAGGGAACCACTTGGCCAAAAGTCCCAAGGAGGGAAGGAGCAGGGCATATTTAGGATACTGGGACAAGGCCACTGGATTAGAGGAGCTTGCTACTACAGAATCATTGTCAGCAGTGTCTACAGGCTGGTTCTGCTAGACAGGGCTGGGGAGGAAAGCAGGGACCACTTCTCCCCGGGCTTTGGGTCCCATTGGAAATTTAGGCCTTGACAACCCTCAGGCTGGGCCTCTGCCTTTCCGTCCAGTCTCCGTTAGGCTCCAGCGACTCCAACCTCTGCACTTGCCGGCCCCAGGCCTTTGCATGTTCTGCTGTCTGCCTGGGAAACCCATCCTTCCCTCCTATCCTAACTTACCCCATCTGCCTGAAAAACTCCTGTGAGAAGCTTTCCCCTTGCTGCCCTCGTTCGCTTCTACTGCTCCTTACACGTACTTCCAGGAAGGCAGCGATCACACAGCGCTGTAAGGTTCTTTCACGATGATATCCCTAACTACCGCATAAACTCTCGTCCATTTTTACTTGGAATGCTCGGGCCTTACTTGTTGCATATGTTTGTCACATCGCAGGCCTTTATGCACCGAAGTAATGAATGCATGTTGTCTTAATACAATTTCTTTAAGAGATGAAACTCGTGGAAATTAGCCTGGCTTACCTTCCAAAAAAGCTAGACTCGACTGACGTTAAAAAAACACACTGACATTTCTCTTCTGCAAGGCTATGATCTATTGAACGTTAATGGTACTGGAAAGGAGGGAGTCCAGGATAATAAACATTGTCTGAGAATTATAGATAAGAATGACCGTGTGTGTCCGCATACTATCATTTATATTTAAAAATGCCTTGCAAGATTTTCTAGATTCCAAATGATGTGTCTGAAAGTAACTTAGTGTAGTGGAGGAGAGATGGAAAGAGCACAGGCAGGAATTTATTACCTTATCCATTTAATCTACAAACGACCAGGAAATCAATGGGAAAACCTGTTTCCTCTCTACATGCCTTAAGGAAAAGCCATTCGGCTGACGTTACCGTTGTCATTCATTTGGAAACAAGAAACCCAATTCTCAGGTCATCAGGGCTAGGCCAGCGACGCTTTCCAAGGGCAGACAGAAAACACGGGTGACGGCTGCGTGGGCCCTGGGCCGTGACAAAGTGTCCTTACCGTGTTGGGGCGACGCCCTGCTTAGCACTGGGAAGAGCATTTTCTGTTAGTGGGAAGACCAGAGTTGGGAGCAAATGAGTCTTTAAAATAACATCATTTAATATTCAAAATTTCAGAATCTTTATATTGGCCTCTCCCTCCAATCACTTAAACTATTTTGTAATCAAGTATATACATCCTTGTAAATAGAAAACACTACCTTTTTTTTCTTCATTAAAAGCAGCAACCACTTGTGTTTTGTTTTGTTTTTGGTGTTTTTTTGGTTGTTTTTAGGATAGGTTGCCTCTTATTTCTTCATTCCTACAGAATCCTTTTGGAATAACTGCGTCTCACTTAGCTGCCAGGAAAACTAACCCAGAAAGCACCTATTCAACATGTGTTCAGCATTTTTGGAGAAATTGGAAGGAAATTAAAGTTGTGTCATTCCTCAGCTCCACCAGACATTCTCCATCCTTCATACCCTAGTGTGAGGAGTTTACAGATGATGAAAGCGAATGTGCCTTTCCCCCTCTGTAGGTCAGACTCCATGTCAAGAAGGCGGCCAAACATGCCTCTACAATTCCTGCCTTGATTCATGTGCTGGTAGCTCTCGTTGTGACCCCAACAACAGTCTGAATAACTGTAGTAAGTACAGCAGCTGACAAATGCAATCCCCGCGGCAGGATGTGCATTTGGCTTTGTTCTTTCGCATTGACATTGAAACGCTGAAGTCTGGAATCCCTCCAAAAGTATATGTATCTATTTCCCTTTTCTTTTTTAAAGCTTGCATGGGGTAGCAGAAAAGAAACAAAATGTCTTAATGAACTGAAATAAGAAACAAACATGTGTCGTTGTGAATGGGCTATAAATCCGCATTGCTTAATATCATTACCATTAGTTTCACCTCAGCATTGGCTCCTATATATTATTTTCTTGGCTCCCTCTGCAGGCAGATGCTATCTTTCTTCCCCTTTAAAACCCAGCTTCAAAAATGGAAACTTTATTCCAGAAGCAAATGTGAAGTTCATCTAAATAGCTTCATAAAACTTTGGCTGTCTGTTCTTTTAATACAATTTATTCTCACCTCTCCAGGAACTTTGCTGATTTAGGATGATCTTGCAGCCGTTGTGTTGATGATTTGGTGACGATGTAACAGCTCCAAGGGTGCAAACAGGGGGCTCTCTAGACCTGGCTTTCAGGAGGAATCATTCGGGGAGGCAGAATGGGCAGGTGTAGGGAAGGCCGTGTAGACTCTCACGGGGAGTTGAAATGATTCAGAAAGCCTCGAAAGACTCTGACTCTGACACTCACTTCTTTCACTTTTTCTAATTAATTTTTGGTCTCACCTTCAGTGTGGGGCTTGAAATTTGGGAGCAGGTCTGTCAGCTTTCAGTTGGCAAGAAGGTGACTTTTAACACATATTGTCTCAGTTGAAGGCCATGGGAAGCTGAGAGGGTGAAAAAGTGAAGGGGTTGGGTCCTTGGAGTTGCCCCAGTTTTAGGGCCCTAGGTTTACTTGGTGACCTCCCTGGGTCAATGTGGAGCTTTCTGGGTCAATCCGGGGCTGCCCTGTAACCACTAGGGAGTCTCAAGGGGTAGAAACAGTGGCTGGGAAGGAATTCGAGGGGGGCAGCCACTGAAACCCAGCTGACGGGACTTCTGTTTTCACGAGCGCTTAATAACTGGCCGAAACCATAGCCAGCCCTCCCCCACTTCCCGCGTGAAAAGTGAGCAGCGCAGGCAGGTATCAGCCTGACCACGGAGACCCACTGCTCACTCTAGACTGGTTCAAGTGTGTGTGCATGTGCGTATGCATATGTGTGCGTATATGTATTTATGTGTGTGCGTGTATATAGGTATGTTCTGGGACTATTGTTTCACTTCGGTTACCTCCCAACCTGCTCCAGAACTTCTTCAGAATTATTTTACTTCACCTTGAACTTGAGATGAGTGAATTGGAGCAGTTGACAGTGTGATCTCAAAGACAGGTGTTTATTGTTAAAGTTTTGGGCATTGTTGATATGGAATGGCACTTACTGTTAGACTCAAAACAAGTCAGAAGAGCTTGTGTCACGTTTTGGTGAAGATTATGTTACCGTAGTTTTTCTATATTTGAAATGTTTCAAAATTAAAATTGAAAAAGTATGCTATCTGTCAAAAAAATAAGTTGTGGAAGGTACTAGATAGCTCTGGTTCATACATTTAAGCGATATTTACGGCATGGGTACAACGGTCCAGGCGCGGGGTGGACACTGGGCGCTTTAATGGTGAAAAGGAGAGACACGGTCCCCGCGCTCCTGCGGGAGCCGTTCAGTGCGGAGTCGTCACCGCTTTGCTTTGCTTTATTTTCTTCAGATACACGCAGGCTCCCCGGTGTCCCGCTGTCTCGTCAGCTTCCCCACTCACCGTAGACTCTCTGGCCTGGCTCCCCCCACGTGTATTCGGCACTTGCATCCCCTCTTCTGAGCGCAGGCACCGGGCTAGTCGCTGGTCCCCATTCCCGCCGGTCCCATTACTTAGAGCAGTGCGCACGCCTGACTTCCAGTTGGGAGTAAAGACGTTGGGCCTTATCTTTCAAACAGCTTCAGGATCATAGGCGTGTGCTTGGTGTTCTGAAAAGATGGACTGCTAGCATCTCCTCTCAGAAACTCTTTGCGCACTTGAAAAGTGATTAATTATCTGAAGATCTATCACGGGAGAGACTGTTGTTACTTAGATTCTGAGTCTTGACTACACAGGGCTCTTTCTCGGGCTCCTTCCCGTGGAGAGTGTGAATTGGGAGAATGCGGATATTCTGTCTGCTGGAGCCAGTGCCTCACTGGGCTTGCTGGGATTCTAGTCCTTGAACACGCTGGTTCTTGTCATCCTATAAAATATTATGTAACTTTCTAATGATCCCCGAAGATGTACTGGGTGGGACCCAGGCATCAGTATTTAAAAAAATTCCCAGGTGACTCCAGTGTTCAGCCCAGTTGAGAATTGCTGCTGTAGTGGCCTGCTCGTGACTAGGCTGCAGGGGTTTGTGGCATCCCCAAAACTGGTTGTGAAAAGTCTGCATTTTCCAGGAAGGTGCGTGGCATATCTCAGATTCCCAGAACTGCGTACAATTTTTTTTTTTTAGCCTGTAGAATAGCCGAAGAACATATATGCGTGGCCCATGGACACAGACAACAATGTGGTTAGGGCCAGAGGGAGGGAGG